GTGAGAGAGCAAAATAAATCAAGAGGTAGCTGGAGGGAAGGCTTGCCTGAATAGCCAGGTTTTCAGTTGGCATTTGAAAATGCCCAGTGAAGGGGCCATACGGATCTCAGAAGGGAGGCCATTCCACTGCCGAGAAGGCCCAATTTCTTGTTTTTCCCTTCCGGGCCTCCCTCGGCGTTAGGCTCCTCAGCCTCACCTCCTGGCTAGACCGATACGAGTAGATTTGGGTGGGAGGAGGCGTTCCGCCAGGTATCGAGGACATAAACGATTTAGAACTGCACACCACCAATGATCTATATCTTGGAGAGAGGCTACACACAGAGACCAGTCTCCTTGCAGTAGATCTTTGCTCTTCAGGTTATAGGACGATGATATGGAGGGGACATGCAGGCCCTGATAGCTCACCCCATTTCCCTCTCTCATTTGACTGAGAATTGTAAGAATGCCAGTGAACAGGATTCTTGATGTTCCCCCAGTCTATCTTCTTGAGGATGGGAAACTAAGGAAAAATGACCATGTATGTTGATGCTTGGTATTCCACATACACAAGTGTTTACTATAGGATGAGAAGCTTCAAATTAAGCTGTATTGTGCAGGTTTGTGTTGCTTCACTGGTGAAATATAAGGGCACAATTGGTAGCACAGTCTTCTACATTTTTACTTAGAAGTAAACCTCATGTTGATCAGTTGGACACATTCTCAAGGAAAAAAGAGTACAAGATTGCAACCAAAAGCTTTAGTTAATTAATATACTATTCAAATTAAAACTGGCTGAATTCTTCAATGATTGCTTCAGTGGATTGCTCCACTGAACAATTTTATAGATACTTCTGCTTCTCTTTTATAGATATTTCTCCTTGTTCAAAAGTCAAATTCATTGAAGTGTCCTGTTCCTCAAGCAATTTGTTTAGTCACTGTCTCCCAGGCCTCTGTGTTCCCCATAGCTCAGTGGAGCAAGTTGGATGCTTTTAACAGAGCTGTGTCACTGCCAAATAAACATCTATATTGCTTTTCCCCCCAAATTATAAAGTGTACCTTCTCTTGCTATTTACCATCACTCTGAAAATCCCAGGGAGATGGAAGGAACAATGAGTACCTGCCCATGCCCACCATAGCTTGAAAATAGATTATATATTACTTTAGGAAATTATTCTGGTTTGCTTTTAAGACCTAAGAATCCAGAATCTAAAGCAAATATAAACAAAAATTGAATATGTACAAGATACTTCCCCCAAAAAGGAAGTTATATATTGTATTTTATCAAGAGATTAGAGGGTTTCTTTCTTTTAATTTCTACTTTTTAAAAAATCTTTGCCACTGCTTCAGGAAGAAGTACCACTGTAATCAGCCACCTGACAGCATTTCAACATTCTGCTGAATGGCCAGATTGGAAGAATACAATAACCGTTGTAAAAACTGGCTCTGGGAACAACTGAGAGGGAGATGCATAGTCTTTTCCCCGTCTTCATGTCTCTTATGGTTTCAGACTCAGGTTTGAAAAGAAGAGGTTCCAACTCACATTCAGATGCTACATATCAGCAGGAATCCTGGAAAATCATGGTTTTTGCTCATGTGTAGGGCCTTTCTTCTCTCTAGAATGGAAATCTTTCTGAGTATGATGGTAGCTTATTTATGGCTGAACACTAAACTTGTTCACAAACCTGGAATTTGGCTTAAATCATGATGTAGCTCCATTGCCAGAATATTGTTAAGTTTGAAACACTGGCAGCACTTCATATATTTCAAGAAATTGAAAAATCCTTCATTGTTCTCCCCTTGCAATGGAGCCCTGGACCCACCCCTCAAAAAAGAAAGAGGTGTCCCACTCCCTCTGAAGATGGCTCCATGAAATCTGGAAAATTTGGCCCAGTCTTTGTGTAACTATTTCACTTATAAACATCATAGAGCTGAAGTGTGCTTCTTTCTTTCTTTTTTTTTTAAAGCAGGGAGGCGGGCAGTGACTTCTTATGTGCAAATGGACATTGAGTTCCCAGTGCTGGAGGATTTTCTGGAAACAGCAGATACATCAAGAATGACTTTGAGGGCAAGCAACAATAAACTACTTGTTGACATTTCCAAACATGGTGTGACGTTATGATGCCACTGCTTTTTGAAATACACAACATCAGCATCTGTTATGTAGTGATGAAAGAATAAAATGTCTTCATCTTTATAAGCACACTGAACCATTTTGTAGGTACTTAATATTACTCAGAACTTTAGGAGTGCTTTGATAATTCAAAGGTCAATCACTAGTTCCATTGAATGGTTAAAATGTTAGCTTAAAAACTCAATACTGTATTAAAATGCGCAATTGATTACTAGACATCCTTTAAAAAAAAATTCTGCTGCCATATACTGTGTTTTCTACCTCTATTGTCTTTTAGTATCAAATTTGAGAGACGATGCAGGGCAGCAGAAAGAGGACTCAGGAGATGTAGGTTCAAATCTCTGCTCAACCATGGAAACCCACTGTTGCAAAGATTCCTTGCACATCTTATCTACCTTAAAAACCCTACTAGGGTCTCCATAAGTTGGAAACAGCTTGACGGCACCTAGCAACTCTAATACCAAACCCAAGCAGTTGAGTGGCTACCCACTTTGAAGCAAAACAGAAAACTTATTCAGGCACTCAGAGGAAAAGGAGAAATAATCATGTGAGGAAAAAATGCACTAGCCCTGCCCTTTCTGTTCCTGCTGTCCTCGCGCAGGGAGGGATCATCTGAAGAGGAAGGCCTCTGCAAAGTGCAGGAGTTTGCCCTATCCTGTCCCCACTATCACAGTCAATATGACTGGATAGCACTTGCTGGGCAGCACAAGTGAGAGGGTGCTCCAGCCCTAGCCCGATAGGCCTCTGGTAGGCCATTTTGCAAGGTGGCTGCGGGTTCAGGGGTTCTATAGGCCTTCTTATCTTCTTATGAAGCTCCAAGTGTCATGCAATGTCGATGACAGTAGAACTTGCACAGATAAGAAGGATTAGAATAAGTGTTATAAATACTGCATGGCTGTATCCCAACTTTTGGATCAGAAGTCTTCAACATAGAATTCAGACAACAGAAAGGGAATCTGAAAAAGTAACTTGAATAAGGGTGCAACTACATTGCAATATACTCCTCCACTTACTCTGGGTTTAGCATGATCCAAAGCAATTCAAAATTTCCCGATTGCACAAATTATTGCAAGCGCAGGGGAAACTCACACTTTTCTTCAAGGAATAATTTCTTTGTGAACACCTCTTGGGAGGTTGTTTATTTTAAATTGCTCTACATCACACTGTGTTTCAACCCGTTTTTTGGTTGTGTGAATGGCTGTGTTGTGGTATTCTAAGTGTAGGGGTTCTATGTGCTGATCTTAATGATGTGCTTCAGATTGTGTGGGATGCTGTTCATAGGGAAATCAGCAATTATGCCTTCTGTCTGAGCTGTTTCCCAAAATAAACCATTTTACTTTAGTGCTGCATCACATACATGCTGGAGTCTTGGTGGCTTGTTTCTAACATGTGGTTTGCCTTCCATCTGGTGACTTTAGCTTCTTCATACAAACACTATGCCAGTTCCTTTCTTTTTCCTTCTTCTTTTTAACATCTGCATTCTTTGCAGCCTTTTTTGCTGTCTTTATTTTTGCATTTACAAGCATTGCAAACCTATTGCACAGGAATGTCTGCAGTTAATAGAGTGTCAAAGGAGATGAAAGGAAGTTTCCATTGCACATGTAAAAAAAAAACCACTATCTGCAACACTGATGCACTGCTATGCCACTTAGAATTAAACAAAGAAATAATTACAATTTCAAAGGGACAGAAAAAGAAACAAGCCAGAAACAAACTGGAACTGGCAGTTCTATGCCCAATGAAACATGAAACCAACCTTACTTTGCCCTCTGGAGGGGAAGGATAGCTTAGAAATAGCAGTGAGCAGTCAAGGTCTGCCTTTATTGCCCAACACACAAAGAAGCACCAGTCCTCTACGTAATTCAGCAGTGGATAGCAGCAGCACTCTAAGGCAGTGGAAGATGGGAATAGTGATCTGAGCATGTCTTCACTGCCCACTTCAGGAACAAGCCTTAACATTTCCTTAGACCCAGAATAGTACTGGAACAGAATGACAGATAGAAAAAAAAAATAAAACAGAGGTTTCCCTGGAGCCCAAACCACGCACGCGCGCGCACACACGCACACACACGCACACGCACACACACACACACACACGCACACGCACACGCACACGCACACGCACACAGAGGCAGACAGGGAGGTAAGCATGCAGGCATACACACACACACACACACACAGAGGTGGAGAAGGAGTGAGTAGCAAACCCCAAAGCCACAATTTACACTAACAGAGGCATTCACATATGTCCAAACAATTCAAATGAAATCGATTTGGCATCCAAGTTAAAATAAACAACCTTCTGGTGGAAAGTCTGTTGCTTCCAATAAAAATAACATGATTCCCTGTCAAAACTATCCGCCATGTGCATCATGTAGTCACCTTTTAAAAAGTTGTATCAGCTGAGCAACTATAGAGAAATAGAACCCTCGGGGCTGAGATGGGCAACCAGGCTCAAATCTCAACCCTTATCCAGCACAAAAACAGAGCTGGGAAAAGTTAATTTTTTGACTGTACCCGCCGGAATCTCTCAGCCGGAATGAGCAGTGCTCTGACAAAAATCACATCCCTGTTCCTTTCCCAGCATCTGAAACCCTTTCTCCCAAATGTGAGAAATCTCAGGGAGCAACACTCCAGTTGGCAACTGTGGATGAAATGTAACATATGTATAGCAGTCCCGTATGTGGTCATTCTATTACCTGTGGAAATGTGTGGCTGGGGAATACAACAGACGTGGCGGGAGCAGAGATGAACTGGCCCAGTTACCCCTGCATTATTTCCCAGGAAAGGAAAATATTTTAAAATGCTGAAGAATATAATTTCTGATTGCCCGCGTTTACAAAGCAGGAAGTGTTCTTGCTATATATACACCCTTGCCCTGTTTCATTTAGATCTAATTCCTACCTCTCTTCCAAAGATATCAAAGGACTGTACTGTGAAAGGTAATGCAAAAAAGCTTTTATTAATAAACTTTATGCTTCCCAGAACAATTATGCACATCCAGGCAGGTCTTTGAGGATGGTGTTGAAAATGTTTGTATAAATTAATTTAACCCTAAACATGAAATTTAACTACAAATGGACCATGATGTTTACCTGCCTTATGTTCATAGCTTGCTAGTGTTTTCCAGGAAGGAAGGTTAGATAATTTGAAAAAAAAAAGTAATGGATCCGTTTTTTTTTCAACTGGAAGAATAGATGGCAACTATTTGTGTCAAAATGATTACTTGAGCAGAAGTTACACTGAATTGGTGGGACTTGCAGATAAATGTTACATACTAGCTTGTTAAATTGCTAACTGTGGGAGGAATCCTCACTGAATATTCAAAATGAGGTACTATTGGAGAAAAGGAAAAAGAGGTTTGAAGTAGAAACAGCTGAAAAATAAAAGCTAGCAGATAATTGAGATGATATAGTACAAAGTCTATAAGAATACTCTGGAGGATGCTGTTTGACAATTGGAGACCAAGTTCTTGGAAGCACTTTTCCACTAGGGCTTCTGATTGTGGACATCTTAGCAGCATTTCTTTCTAATCTTCAAAGAGTAGAATGATTTTCAGTTATTTGTTAACTGTAGATCATTACACTTCCCCCTTTCCTTCCTTCCTTCCTTCCTTCCTTCCTCCTTCCTTCCTTCCTTCCTTCCTTTCCTTCCTTTCTTTTTTTCAACTGTAGATTAAGGACTAAGCATATATTCACTTTCCCCCCTGAAATCAATGACGTGAGGTGATAGTGCTTAGATATTGCCCCTTAGTTTAGAAAATGGAAAATAGCTTAGAAAGTACTTGGATGAACAGTCACACACAAAACCCGTCATGACATACAGTTCAAAAACACAAAAACAAAACCCACCTAACTTTTTAGAGATTTCTTAAATATTTAAATTTAATTTCTTATATATTATTAAAGATTGTTACTGCCATCTTGTGAACATTTTGTTCTAATAAGTTGTATGCCTTTAATTTAAATCACATGCTATAACTAAAGCTATAAGTGACTCTTCATGACTGTTTTTTCTCAGACTTTAAACAGTCAGAGTTGAAATAATTCTGTCTGAGTCACCTGTTCATATGTTTATGTTTCCTACAAACCTTGTTCTGCCAATTTAGAACATTAGATGAATACAGACAGGAAAATGCAGATAAGATCTAGCTGTTCACCATTAAGTGGTGAACAACAACAACAAAATGGGACAAAATGTTAGCTGTGACTCTATCCTAAACTTCAGTACCACACACTCTCATTTGGAACTGGTGTGGAAAAGGCTGGCATAGGCTGAGTAGGGTCGCTAGGAGTTCTGGTATGCTATTTGGTGTGATTGTCACATCCAAACAGCATATATATCTAAGTGAATCTATTTAATCTGCACCAGCCCACTGCCGATTTGCCAGTACAGCAGGACCCTGGTATCCGCAGGGTCAGTTCCAAGTACCCTTGCAGAGGCTGGAAAACACTATATATCCCATGGACTCTGGCTCACACTAGTGGCCAGTTCTGATAAACAGACCCTGGAAATACATATAATTAGGTAGCTCTGGATTATGATTATTCACTTCACAATACTGATAAATTAAACACCCTCTTGGCTTTGTGGAGGGGGTGAGGAAGTATTTTTTTTTCTAAGCATATGAAGGCAGCACATATGTGCTGCATTGTGTTTTTTTTTAAAAAAAGACAAATGAAAAACTTCTTCCCAGAAACATGATGAGACAAGAAGGAGCAAGGAGGGATATTTTTATTTCCTTTTCCCTTAAAAGTCCAATTGAAACCTGATTCTTGACTAGACCTTGAAAGAGAAAAACAAAGAAAAATGTATACATCTCTTTCCTTGCCCCTCCTTGTCTCCTCTCACTTTCAGGAAGAAATTTTTCATGTGTCTTTTACTTTATTTTTTAAAAATGCTGCAGCACATTTGCATTGCCCTAATAGACTTAAAAAAATTTCTTTGGCCCCTTGACGGAGCTGAGTAAATGCTGAATTTGACAATATGCTGAAATGGCTCGCTTTGTAAACCATTTCAGAGTACTGGCAAATTCAACGGGGAAGGCTTGCTTTTGATTTGTTTCCAATGATTACACATGCTGGAATAAGGGAAAACAGAATCAGCCTACCCACACCAATAAAGTAAAAGCACCTAACAGAGGTCAGAAATGTGTGGGTAGGACTGCTCTGGGTGTGAGCCGGTTCACTCCAGCAAAAATATTACCTGTTTGCCATCTTTAGGAGTGAACCAACCTGCCCTCCTGTGGACCAAAGAGTGGGCTAAATGCCCATGTAGTCAGCCTCTCAGTTTCACTCAGTTGAGAACCCACCATTCTGAGTCAACATGTTTGGTGTCGCCTTACGTATCAACAAGCAACTTTAGTGAGTGAATATTCTCACATTGCTTCTGTTATTGTTTCTATTTCCCCAGAAATGCTTCTTCCAGTTCTACTTCTGCTCTTGGCTGCTGCACTACAAGCATTTCTAGGACAGGTAGTTATATGAGCCACGAGATTTAAACAGAAGATGTATCAGGCATGGCTTGATGGGGAATCTACAAGTGCTTGCGTTACTTAAGATACAGGAAGCAGAAAAACAGAGAAAGCACATGATTTTCAGATCATTTACTACCAAATTAATAGGAATATTCCAGAGGAGGCTATTAGATAATTACAAACTCTTGGAAGTGCTTTTCTATTATGTCTTCTAAATATCATAGCAGTATTTCTTACTAGTTTTCAAACAGTCAGGAGTGTACAAGGTAGAAGAGAGAAGGCCTCACAAGTGAAAGAGGAAACGTATGTATGTTAAAATCCACTGGATCAGGTGAGAACCATTTCTACATCACCTGTATGAACATCAGAGACAGAAGGCAACTTGTTGCAAAGGATTCTGCACTTTCCATTCTGTTCAGACGGAGTGCTTTGAGCGTTGTCCCAATTCCCAAGCTTATTGAGAACAACCTCTATTGCACTGCCAACATGGTGCATATGAACAAAGACTGTTCATTTTAAGCAAGGTGGAAACACTTGATAATTAACAAATGCAAGAATAGGCAAAACCTTTATAACCCATTAATAAAAAAAATTAAAATTCATACACTATGCGAGTTTTCATGGGTAAATCTCACTTTTTCAAAGCAAATACCAAAAGTCCAAATGTTTGTGGCAAAATGGGAATTGCCAGGCAGCTATTCTTAGATGTAAAGTTCTTGGCGAAGAGAATTTTGCCAGGCATCTCTGTCTTAGATAAGGCAGGAAGTTGTTTTAAAGTGGTTGCTGAAGCAGCTGTGAGTTAGATTTAGCAACATTCCTCAAACCAAGGGGCAAAGGCAATGAACGCGTGCATGCATGCATGCATGCACAAACGCACGCGCACACACGCACATACACACACTCTTCTCCATTTGGCTCTTCTTTGAAGCAGACATGTTACAGACATATTTTTGCTTGGCCAGGAAAGGTGGAGTGGGGCAAAAATCCCATATCCTCCATCTGAGAATTGGGGTATAATTTAGTCAACCCACTAGGTCTAGCCAATTGGGTCAGATTAAAATAAAAATACTATTACCTAGTGGTTGCAGTCCTGCTCTGCTGGAGTTGAAAGCCCATGTGCCTTCTTGTTGGTACATTGGGGGGGGGTTGTCTTTCTTGGTGTATAAATAAATCATATGTGTGTCATGATTTTTACATTTTAGAAATTATAAAAAGACAAATGCTAGAGGATAAGTTCATTTAATTTATTCATATAACTGTAGGGTAACTCAGCTTCTGTGAGTAAAATGACTCCAGAAAAACAGAAGGAGATTCTTGATGCATTTAATGCTATCAGGAGAGACGTGAAGCCAACTGCTGCCAATATGCTGAAAATGGTAAGATTCTATTTGCTAATGTTGCTATATACTGTTCAAAGTCTTCATTCTGGCATCTGCAGGAACAATTTCCTAGGCGTTATATTTTATGATACATTAGACCGAAAAAATGCACACTATAGAAAATCACACATCTCTGGAGACGTGCCCATCCTACATTTTGACCACCAGGATGCAGAGTAGAGGAAAGGTTTGCACTGTGTAAATTTAAGTCTTCCACAATGCTGCTGATGGCTCACTGTGTTGATCTGCCCATTCTCTTTCCCTGCTTCCCTTTTTCTCCTCAGTTATGTGCTGTTCTCTTTGCTTTTTGATAATACTTATTTTTATTTATTTATTTTATCAGATTTATACCCTACCCATCTAGACAGATAGTCTACTCTGGGTAGCATTACAAAACCCCAAAGCAATGAAACCAATAAATATGCAAAAATCCAAGATGTAAAATTATTATAGATATTAAAATACAGCAGGAGGGAAAGCCTGCCTAAATAGCCATGCCTTTAGTTTACTTCTAAAGACACCCAGAGAAGGAGCCAGGCAGATCTCTAGGGGCAAGTTGTTCCAGAGGTGAGGGGCCACTGCCGAGAAGGCCCGGTTCCTCATTCTTTCCTTTCGGGCCTCCCTCGGCCTTAGGCCCTTCAGTCGCCTGGCTTGGTTAAAATGAGTGTCTCTGGTATAACTGGATGGGAGAAGGTGCTCTGTCAGATATCGAGGTCCTAAACCATTTAGGGCTTTATAAGTAATTGTAAGAACTTTGAAATCAGCGCAGAAACGAATAGGCAAAAAAGAGATGTAGAGCTGAGTATCATCAGCGTACTGATGACACAAAGCTCCACATCCTCTGATGACTCCTCCCAGTGGCCTCATATAGATGTTAAACAGCATTGGAGAGATAGTCAAGCCCTGCGGGACCCCACGATTGAGGCTCCACAGGGCCGAGAAACTCTCTCCAATCTACACTCTCTGGGGATGGTCCTCCAAGCAGGAATGGAGCCAGGCCAAAGCCAGGCCACCGATTCCCAACTTGGAGAGCCTCCCCAGGAGGATACTGTGGTCAACGGTTTCAAAGGTGGCTGAGATATCGAGAAGGATCAGCAGAGACATTTTGCCCGTTGGCCTCCCTCAACAGGTCATCAAACAGGGCAACTAATGCTGTTTCCATATCATGGTACTGCCTGAAGCCTGACTGGAATGGATCCAGGGCATTGGTTTCATCCAGAAGAGCCTGTAGCTGATCGGCCACCACCCTCTCAAATACCTTGCTAAGGAAAGAAACATTGGTGATGGGTCTATAATTACCAATATAATGCTGTTCTGTGCCATGGCACGGCCTGAAGCCTGACTGGAATGGATCCAGGGCATTGGTTTCATCCAGAAGAGCCTGTAGCTGATCGGCCACCACCCTCTCAAATACCTTGCTAAGGAAAGAAACATTGGTGATGGGTCTATAATTACCAATATCGTCCACCGCCAAGCTCGGTTTCTTCCTAATGGGTCTAATGAGTTAATTATAGCTGTAGCCCATTCAGATGTTATAGGCTTGGCTGCTTTGATTAGCCAGGCTGGGCAAGGGTCAAGGGAGGAGGTGGTGGCAGGACAGCGGTCAAACACTCTGTCCACCATATATGACATCACAGGCTGAAAGTAGTTAAGTCTCATCAGGCAAGACGGAGTGCTGGACGTCTCAGCTCGATCTACTGTTTCCAAATAGGGGGCAAGGTCCTGGCAGATGGCCTCCACTTTTGATTTTAAAAAGGTTGCAAATTTGTCAGGTGAGATGCTAGAGGGAGGCCAATCACCATGACCAATTCCGGAAAGATCATGAACTATACAGAAAAGTTCTGCCTGCTGATTGGAAGCTTCGCTTATCCAGACAGCAAAGTAAGATTGACTAGCAGCTTTCACCTTAGATTGGTAGAGGTTAGTCGTGATCATGGCAGATATTTGATTATTTTCCATCAGAAATATTCATTCATTCATTCATTCGTTCGTTCATTCATTCATTCATTCATTCATTCATTCAACATGTATACCACCCAGTAGTATAACCTCTCTGGGAGGTGAACAATTAGCATAAATAATCTACAAAATAGAACACCAGATATAAGCATCAACAGCAAAAAACGATGAATTATAAAGGAACCATATGACTCATTGAAACCCTACTCAAGTAAACAAATGCAGGCCACAGATAGACATTTGGTAATATGCATCAATCAAAGGCAATTTTGATCAATTCTGTATTTAGCAGCTTCTTAAAAACTGGGACGGGGCACCTGGCAAACTTATACTGAGAGTTTATTTGATAAGTATGGGGCCAAAATGGAGAATGCTTGGTTTGCTGGTGGTAACTTTTTTGGCCTCCTTAGGTGTTACTATATTTAACAATAGCAAGTGTGAGAAACAGGTTGCATGGATAGCTGTTTTGTAGGATAGACATTCCAGCACATCAGGATTGTAATACATTTCACAACCATTGTGAAGATTGTATTAAGTTTTGAAGCACGTAAGAAAATTCAGCAGATTCCACTATCAAATGATATTTATGTATGTATGTATGTATGTATGTATGTATGTATGTATGTATGTATGTATGTATGTATGTATTTATTTATTTATTTA